AACATAGTAAAAGAGCATACAAATGCTCAATTACGTTTATTAAAGGATGTAGGTACACTATATTGGAGATTTACTTCTGTATGTCTGTTTTTTTGTTGTAGGTACTGCAATTTATCCCAGAGTAACCACACCGTAACTGACTCAGAATATAGGTATAGAAATTTTTGAATCGTTACATCTTAACCTAATCTCTACTTTCGGTCACTGACCGTAATATCAAATTAAACTGACAAAGGTACAGGTACAGTGAATTGTTCGTCTAATCTTTCCTTTGGACAAGTACCGTTTATGTACCCAGTCAAATTACTCTATCCGAAGTTTAGATGTAGGTAGAGGAAATTCGGAGATCGGAATCGTCCTTCTAAAGTTTCAGGTACTATCGATGAAGATGTAAAATTATGGCGGATTCGTACCGACGCGATTGAGATCTATCATTGGGTTCAATGACTTTAATGTGACTGAGTACTACCAGAAGGCTCTGGGAATAAAATGCCTTTGTTAGATTGGCTTACAAGGGATGATTAGTAATTATAAATCGTTAAGTTTTTATTGAATTGTAGCCTTTATCCGTTCGTCAAATTGCGAACTACAGTATACTCAAGACACTACAAGAGTGGCTTTTGATCACAAAATCCGGAGGGTTTAAAGTTTAAATGCAAGCATGCGTATGCAGCTCTGTTCAGTCAATAATATACGTAAACCAGATAACCCACAACTTAATCCAAGTCCAAACAACAAAATACTTACACAACGTTATATAAAAGGAATAACGTTTTATCGATCTTGTCTAGCTTCTGCTCCTGCATTATTATTCCCGTGGAAAACCGCTCCTTACCCCGGGCAGGGTCCCATGGGACGCGGTGTCCGGCTCTGGGTACTAGCGTGGACCTGGAAACACGATACCGACGTCTTATTACCAGAAGCCAGGAAGATATAGAAGGTTTACTCTTAAACATAAATAAAGAACAATTCTTGATAAAAATAACTTTGCTGAATGAGGTTATCATAAGGATCTTATGGATCCATCTTATAAAGCTTCAAGTAGGTTTCGATTACGCGAAAAATACTTGGTTCTTTTGTCATTATGACATTTTTCTAATATCAAATCACTAAGCTTGATCATCAACTTTTGCTTCCTAACTACTTCACACAGCTAGCAATTTTGCAGATATCAGCTTATATGTGTTCATTTATAAATGTCGATGACAATTAGTTGTTGCTATTTTCATAATGATGGGCCTTCTGTACATCTTAGTCTGCGGCTTTACGTTTTACGACAGTAGCTATCTTTATTGCAATGTAGCTATAATTTGATTTTTGCGATATTGCTCTAAGAGGTATCGTAACTGTGTTCGTGGAGTAGGCTAAGAAATTTTGGTTGGGACAAAATTCTGAGTAGGACATTTTGTGGTCAACATTTTACTTAAAATAGGCTATTTCTACATTTAATACAATTAGTAGTGTTTATCACAGATTTATTTAATTTAATTTAAATAATAAAATCAGGACTAATACAAGTAAAAATGTCGTATTAAAATCGAAAAAGAGTCGTCAATTTCGAGCCAGATTCAATAAGAACAGAAGATAACAAGTCCTTAACAGTTCAATACTCCGTAGAAATGAGCAAACGGAAAGTCCTCGAAATCTTTTTTCTTTCAATTTCGTTCCTAAATTCAATACGAACGGGGTAAAACAAAATCACGAGGCGAGAGTTGCCAATTGGGGAGTGTTTGTCGTATTGGTGTGGAGTGTGTGCGCCGAGCCGTCGTGATCTGCACTCGAATGCATCGAAAGGGATGCACAATCCATACAAAGTGAACTGCGGATTCAGTCAGTCGTGATTTTTCCTTACTGCCGTATATCCTGCTTCAGATTGCTTTGCAGGAAGCCTCTAAGACTGACTCATTCGAAGATTTGTATAGACGTCAATGTTTGTTTATTGGAGTCCACTCTGTTCTAATGCTTTTTGGCAAACGAACCATGCATTTCAACGATAACGGGGTTAGTGCATAATGTGACGTCATATTTATTTTGCGTTTTTTACAAATACATTGCTAAAATGAAGAGTTGTGGTTACTCAAGTTTCGATAGTATTTCATTGTATCTACTTGAGTGTAATCTTATAAAATAATGTTTCAAGATTAAGTAAATTGGTAAAGTGTTACAGAACTTGTCCAGCGCTTAACTGCTCACAGATTAAACTTTTCTTCGACAACTCACTTAGCACGGTTAAAACTGGTTTCAGTTAAAATGTTATCGCCGAGTTCTAACTTATTTGCAGTAAAAAACGAACACTTCATTTTTAGTTTCATATAAAACTTGCACTGGTTAACAAGTTCGATAAAAATTCCGGTAGCTAAACTTTTAGTGCTTTTAATAAGAAAATTTTATAAAAGGTTAAAACTAGTAACGAGTTTTATCAAAGAAAAATCAGTTTCTGAGGAACATCGTTCCGAGATCAATTTTATATCTGTTCTAGTGGCTTATAGAGGCCAGATGATAGTAGTTTTGTGTAAATTCATTACTGATCAATCGGCCGAATTTCACCCAGTGAAACACCGCCGGCAGCTAAAGTTGTCCTGTGCTACTTACTTTTAACTCCATTTAATTAGCAGCTCATGGACTGTATCGGAAGCATGTAATACAGGGATATCCTCTCATTAATTAGCAATCTGTGTAGCCGAACACTTTTATATCGCCATTTTATTTTTAAAATAGGATTGAGTTAAAAAGCGACTGCATTTAATGTCCCGTTTATGCCAGTTACCGTAGAAATAAATGAGTTTATAGATTGGCCCACTTTCCGCTTTTAACGGCGACTTTAGATTGACTTTTGCATTTTATTTCTTACCTGGTGCATTTAGATTTCCATTTCCCATTGTAATTAAATTGTACAAGTTTGCTGAAGTAGCTAAGAGTTCTTCGTTATCTTGTAGCTTCGTCTCGATATAATTTTATACGGAATGAAAATTGAAGTCTTTCATAAAATTCATTTCTTCGTACTTAAGTACTTCCAAATTGTTATATTAATATTGAAATGCATTTTACTTATGAGTTTAACTAAAAAGATACTTAACATTTAAAACTCGTACACTCTTTATCTTTCTGCATGACGTCAGAGAGTAGATTGAAAGCCCCATTAGTTTCATAAGTTTATTATGTGTGTTGTTGCTTCAACTGAACGCTATACGACTTTTCACTTCACGCTTGCTAACTTAATTATTATAGAATGTTCATATTAAATAGACTTCGTTGCGCACTCTACTTTCGCAATCTATCTGAATATAAACTACATTGCAATTAATTTAATTTGGTCGACCTCACCTGTTGAATTGTTTCTTAGATATATTGTTTTTTATTCCGTTTTCTGTATGTGGAACTATTTATTTTTTATGTCGGTCTGTTGTAATTTTACTTTGGGCTTGATATTAACAAAAATAACCTCGCATCTATCTTTTTATTCATTGCACATTTACATTAGTTTAAATAGAATGCATTTACTTCTTTAATTCAAGTACCAAATATGAGTCTCGTTGTTTTATTAGATAAACTAGTTTTAGGCAAGGAAACATTCTTATATAAATATGTAGTGATTGAGCATATTTGCACAATTCGAATTAAGGAAATTATCCGCAAACAACTTATGATTGGTTTTATAATGACTAGTTAAGTTGTTACCGATTTATTGTCACTCGGAATTGTGCAAGTACATTTAGAGTTAATAAATCATGTCTACAAATACATTCCTTATGTTTTAGCAACAACGAAATTCAATGATAAATGTAGTTTTAACAATCTCGTGATTTAAGACAATGTGGTCGCCGCGGTCAATTTTACAAATTGATCGTCAATTGTGTTTTCGACAGCGAAATGGCGTCGAAATTGTTTCGAATAACATGCGATTGTATCATTGTTCTACTGCGGTTGGATCGCATACAAATCAATGCAATTATTACTCGAATACTCGAATATTAAGTCCGCCAATACAAATTGTTAGGTTAATGGAGATAGGTACAATAATTGGTACTCATGTAATTACAGTGTTGGGATTGCCTATGATTCCGTCGTAATATTTCTTCATTATTATAGTTTAACATTACTGTTTACAGATTTAAAGAAATGTCAATAATTTAGAAAATAGCTGGGACATATATAATTTTTGTAATTTTATTGTAAGTATGAGAAGCGATTATCTTTTTATATAAGCAAATATGTTTTCGTACCAAGAGCTACGACAGGTCAACATGCTCTTGTATAGGAATATGTAGTTTTGTTTGTAATAGTTATACCACCAATTACAATTACACCAATTGTATATTGTATTGACCTGTCGGTATTTGAGCCAATAATGAAGTCAGTAAATGGAAAGGAAGGCGTGGCAGGGCCAGACCGGTTTGGTAGCGAAATATCCTTGTATTGGCGCTAAGGTGATCTAGTTGGTCGCGGCTTGAGGTACTTTGTGCAAGTACAGTAGAATGCGGACGCAGCCCACACCCTGCCTTTATGTCAGCCTACTAGGAAGTTAGCGGGGTTCTGGTTTTTTACATTACGTGATACAGTTTTTTATTGCGCACGGTGAGATAAAAGCAATAAAAGTAGACATTACCATAATTGAGTAATGATTACGATTCCGCTATAACGGGAAGGGATTTGGTTTATAATTTGAAAATAGGCAACTATGTAAATGAAAGCAACAGCAGGGTAAACATTTTCATGAATGAAAATCAACATTTCTTGTGTAATTCTAAGTTTATTTACAAAGTTCAGTTATCGTCAACTGACGCTCGTTCGGCCCTCAAACCATCCTAGCAACAAAACGAACAACATATGTATACCTGTCCATTAACTCACAATATCACAGCAAACAACAATTAAGAAATGCTTTAGAGCGGAGTACGCACACTGCCGCCCCTCGATGACTCGGCGAGTTGCTAATTGATGCGTGCTTTTTACGTATTTCGGCCTTTACAAATCGCCGGAGCCCTCTCTATAAATTAGATTTATACTTTGTGGAATGAGTAGGTGTAGCCATCGGGTGCTCTGTTCAGGCTGAATTTTCCGGGAGGGAAGAAGCGGGTCGGTTGCTGCGTCGTGGGCTCGTAGTACTGTTGTTGTTGACGAGGTTGCGAGTACTGGGCGGGCTGCGAGTATTGTTGGGACGAGGGCAAGCCACTGTACTGTGCTTGCTGTGTACCAGGGTAGATGTTGTTAGACTGGTACTGTGGCTCGGGCTGGTACTGGGGCTGTGGCTGGTACTGAGGCTGAGGCGCTGGCTGGAAGTGTGCCTGGGTCTGGTACTGCTGTTGTGGCTGGTACTGTTGCTGCTGGGGAGCCTCGTAATTCTGCTCGTATAACTCTGGGTGGTACTGACCGTCATCGTCGTTTGGTTTGCCACCATAGTTGCGCGCGGGCTCGGGGGCTACGTACTGTTGGGGAGCACTGTATTGTTGAGATTTGTAATCCGGTGAGTTGTATCGGGGGTCGGGTGTGTATCCGGGAGTGGGCGCAGCAGCTTGGGGAGCGGTAGGGATGTGGTCACCAACGGCTTGGAATCCATTCTTTCCCGCGATATAGTTCACAGTTTTCCTCTGTCCACTAGGGTCAATGTACGAGTAACTTCCTCTTCGGTTGCCGTCGGCGTCAGTTTCCTCTTTGAAGTTGATTCCATCCTCCTGCTGGTAGGCGGCACCGAAAGCACCGTTTCCACTGAGATACCGCGCTTCCTGCACGATAGCTGCTGTCTTCGGGTCGCCCGCGTACTTGGGCACACGTCTGCCTCCTTCTTGTTGTTGGCACGTCGCGGCTGCGATCACAAAGGCAAATATAATGAGCCTGTACATTTTGAACGTTCAAAATGTGCACTGCTCGCGTGAAAGTAACAAAGTGTGTCGTTGCGGGCGGGTGAACTTAATATATACGGCGAGTAGAGGCCTTGACGTGTATTGGAAGGGCTCGCGGGTTCGACCGCGAAAATCTTATTCATACAAGCTCCAGCCAGGCTCGGATGTATGGTATTCATCAGGGAAGTGACATTAAAGGTGAAGAGAGCAGGTGACGTCCATCGGTATAAGATCGGCCATGTGTAAATGTCAACGAGTAGGCAGTTTATTTTAGAACGAGCTTTTTAAATATCGTAGTACTCGGATACAATGTTCCATGTTTGAGAGTTTAGGATATGCTCGTATTTTTCCTGCATCGACCAAATGTATTGCGGAATATACAGTTTCGAAATACTGAAATATATTTGAATTTTCAAGTTGCAGATGAAATAGTCGATCCGTGACAATTAGCTTATCCAGTACTCGTTTAGATGTCAGGATATACACGTGCACTGTGGTCGGACTAATTAATGTTTGAAATGTAATTAAATAACTCACAATTAAATTAGTGGATTAATATTACAATTTAAATGATTTATTTGAGGATTGAGTAGTTTTAGAACTATATTCAGGTGACATTTGACACTAAGCGATTTACTGCTGATCAGACATGATCTTATACAGAAGATTACATAACAGACCTATGATTTTTAAAACTAATTACAAATTTCAATATCAAGATTCTGTCTAACATAAATAAATATTTCACGTTACCTACATTATATAGGACTGCAGCATCTATTAAACAGAAAACAAAGTGCACATTCCTGTGTACCTAAAAACATGCAGGTCATTGTACGTACCGACCACTTATGAATGCAACTAGCAATCATCGATGGCAGATAATGTCAGATTCACACCGATACGAGATAGTGACACTACATACGTTTTAAGTAGAACATTACTTTCGCAATTTCCTCCAAGCCTTCTTATCATAGCTCCATAGTTAATTCTTTTGTTCTTAACATTAGTCCACGCTAAATCTATTACAGTTCTCACAGCGAATTTACGTAAGTCAGTCATGTTGGTAAATATTAATACCTACTTTATATACTTAGAGTTCCGTAACATAACAGTGGTACCTATTCGAAATCTTACATAATTTTACACCTGGGTCTTTGAAGGATTTAGTACCTACATAGTGTCTATAATCACTAGTTGTTAATATAGGTACTAGGTTAAGTGTTTGCTTCCTATTCTATAAATTTGAGACAATTTATTAAAAATCCGTTCAGTTGGTTTTGTTTTGCAGACTGACAGATATGGCGGGTAGCTCTGTATTACGATTATGTTTTTATGGATCTAGAATTTAATAATTGTTAACCGTATATATTTCCCGATTTAATGTAATTAGCTATTTCTAACTATCTCTCTTTAACCTTTATTACTGAAACCGAAAACTTACAAATAAATTAACATTTTATACAGAACCCTACGTTGTAAGATTATGATTTGCGTTTACCCGGTTTTTACACCGCTTTGTTGTTATGTTTTATTCTACTTAACGTATTAGATATAATGTAATGTAATTATAACGCTTATTGCATTTAACCTGAATAGCTGAGATTTACGTAAAGTGACCTGTCAATGGCGCCCGCCATTTTTTTATCATTGTGAATCAGATTCGCTAATTATAAGCCAGTGAGTCATTTCGGTTTTGTATAAAAACTACCTTTGAGGTAATAGTGGCCTATTTTTATACAATTTGGCGTCTTTCATAAAAACAGATTCTCTATGTCTATAGCAATGACAATGAAGTAGTATAATATTATTTTTTAACTTCATGACAAGCATTGCGTAAATTAAATCTGAGTTGTTTGTTCCCTCGGGAAACATAAAATTCTTATTCTATACTTATTTTATACTAGTTATGTTATTATTGTGCTGTAAAGTTCAAGGGCTTTGCTGAACAATGACTTCAATTCAGCTCTGAACTAAATTTGCGTATTTTGCAATCGCAAAGGCTGAACCCGTTAGGTACAGCATAGGACGCATTATGAGGCAACCACTGTCTTTATTATCGGATTTTCTTCAGTTATGAAATACTTAAATCATCCTACATTATAGGTACAGCTACGTCTTATGTCAGTGCTACATATGAAATTGGTTTTCATATCACAACTTTGTTTATACTGTCTCAAATTGGTGTACAATAAAGATTATTTATTATTATTAACTTTGACCTATTTTCCAAAAGTTTAATTAAAAAACACTAAAGTTTTATGTTTTCTGCTCACATCATTGATGAAAGCGAGCGTGAAGCTATCAATTTTGAAGGCATAGTTGGATTCTTATGTAACCCGTTATGGAATGTGGAGTAGACTAGCCATTCATAGTAAGACCATCGATTGAAGATAAAATAATGCAATAGGTAACACGCCTGCAGGTCAAACCAACGTGCCAATTTTTTGTGCTAGACTTTGAATCTTATCTCCTTATGATTAGGTTGAAAATCTGTTAAAGAAATTGACAGTTTAGAGTACATTGACGTGCTGGTTAATCTACCGTTATCGTCATAATTGTTCGTGAAGATTGATTACTGTTCTATCTGTAATGGAATCTCTGTGTTGAAAAACAATAAGATTGCATTTTTTATCGTACATAGTTTCTTAACTTATATTTAACTGGGTCTGGGTTGATGTGTTTCTGTTAGTAAACGCGCCTATTATGACACACAAAACAATTCTGGACGTTGCTTGGCCAGTTCGTTACCATTATCGGACAAAGAGCATATTTATATTATGAATTTCGGAAGATATACTAAATAAATTATTACATTTTTCGGTTTACTCACGTCACTATTTACGTAATTAGCAGCGTGACAGTCACCAAGTCGCGGATCGCGGAATACTGCTCATTAATATGAGCCTCATATACTTAGCATGGCTTGAAACTAGTCGAGTTCTTCGTCAAATAATTACGCGAGTAAGCCGAAAAGCATTTTTTTATGGCATAAGCCGGTAAACGAGCAGATGGATCACCTGATGGTAAGCAATCGGCGTCGCTCATGGAAACCTGGAACACTCTCTAGTGTTCCAGGTGCGTTACCGGCTTTTTGGGGATTAGAATTTTGAGGATCGTTGGGGATTCAAGGATTGGGGAGATTGGGGAATGGGAGGGTAATTGGACCCCCGGTAACCTCGATCACGCGACGAAACACAACGCACGCGTTGCTTCATGTCGGTTTTCTGTGAGGCCGTGGTATCACTCCGGTCGAGCCGGCCCATTCGTGCCGAAGCATGGCTCTCCCACACTTAAATAATAATTAATAAAGCGCATATTTGTATCATTTGGGGATCAAATGAAAGGACTTTGTTTTTATTTTTATTGTGTAAAGTGAAATAATGCAAGTAAAAAAAGAATGTACAACGAAGCGTTAGAAATTCATGTCCTCCTTGTCACTCCTTGATTTCTTCTCGTCATGTCAGCTAACGCCGATGTCGTCAATGTCATGCCGACACTGGGTATAAAGGTGACATAACATGACACACGTAGATGTCATTCTATTCTAAGTCTTACATTATGTTTTATCACAGTATTTTTATTAATTGTATTAAATAGAAATAACAGTTTCGTATGAGTATTAAATTGATCTTACTATAATGGGTGTGTTTGCTCAGTATTTAAATATTTCGGCACCTAAGCAGTGAGTAGATGGATACGCACAATGATATTATAAATAATGCATAATTAATCACAATTGGACAAAGTATGATTTTAAACCTTTAATAATTAGGTATACTGTACAGTATAATAATAATGCGTAGTGTATTACTGTACTCGGCGTCTGGCAATAGAAAGGATGGGATACATCGGACTTATAATATAATCAACAGACAATAGATGGCATGTCTATTGCGAATCTCATTGTAACATCAGGTACTGGGCCTCAAATATAAGTTAGCTATATCATAACCTTCATGCGTTGGATGCTGATTGGAGATTGATGCTAGACGGTATCTTTAAGATGTGTACTTCTATAGTCAGCTATCACAACACGCCCGAGAAGAGTACTAGTAATAGTCTATGATAGTAGTACTACTATCAGAGATCAGAGATACTGGGAGACAAAATTAAATTAATGTATTCGATACTCGACACTGCTGTCACAAGACGGCCCAATATGTAGTAACCCAAAACAATTACTTTACATAACTTTCTTACAAACATTGGTACTATTTCCTCAAGCCGTACTCATGACGACCTTGTCTACGGTGTTATGACTTGCAACTTGCAGCTTATGTAACTAGTCCAATGTGATACGATTTTAGTATTCCTGTCTGGTGACCGACGGTGACGACGCCTGTTTAAGTCATAAGCCTACGTAATTTGCACTGTATTGCATGTGCTTTAAATGTGTAGTACCTATCATGTTGGAATTATATTTCTACTACAGTATTAAAGTTACTAACAAATAATGTATGTATTTGTCATGCAGCATTAGTGTGATCCACGAATTGTTGTTTCGGGTCTGAGTGAAATGTATATGTGGACTTGTATGTTTGTAAACGCACCTACGACATAGGAGACAATCCTACTGTGAGACAAAGTTTTATAAAAAGGACAAAGGTCAAAGACAAAATCTCTCATTTTCAGTCGTTTAGGTTGAACTTCGTTTTTATAGGGGTACAAGCGTAAGTGGTTCATAATGTACCCAACACTGGAAATGCAGTTAATCCTAATGTTACTAGAATTGGTTTCGTGGATCTACTGCCATACACGTACAACAATAGAATTATATATGTTTATTAAAGTTATCGGCAGTCCACTATACGGCAACAAAACGCACATTCATATACCAAGTTAAAGAGAACATTAGTCTTTTAGCGCGAAAGTGCAATTTACCATATCCATCTATAAATTCTGTACTCGATATTTCCCGAACATATAAATCCGAGTGGGTTAAGATTGTATCTCCTATGATATAAGTTGTAGTGCACTCGACCAGTTTGCCTTCAGCT